TTATGTAAAATTATTTATTTATCTAAGATGCACCTACACTGAATTTATCTGAAAAATAAAAAAGTTGATATTAAGAAAAAAATCGTAAATGGAAGATTATAAGAGAGGGTTTCGAGTGCCAGCAAAAGTTACTGGCGTGCCATGTTTGGCACGCGTGCCAGGGGTTGCCCACCCCTGCCTAGGAGCTATTTTAATAAACATACTGCTACAACATATGTCTGATATTTTGCTGCCTATGGAGTCTTTAAAATTTTTTTGGTTTCCCATCTTGCATTTAAGTCCTTTAACCATTTTGAGTTTATTTTTGTGTATGGTGTAAGTTAATGATCTGGGTTCATTTTTTTTGCATGTATCTGACCAGTTTTCCCAGCACCATTTATTGAAGAGACTGTCTTGACACCTACCTATTGCTTCTTTTGTTGCATTTGCTTTAGGTATTATATCCCTGAAAACATCTAATCCAAAGTCACAAAGAGTTATGCCCAGGTTTTCTTCTGAGTTGTATGGTTTTAGCTCTTATATTTAGGTCTTTGATCCATTTTGAGTAAATTTCTTCATATGTTTCTTTTCTATGTCTAGATGCTCAGATACTTACCATTGGAGCATAAGTGCCTATACTATTCAGTACAGTAACGTGCTGTATAGGTTTGCAGCCTAGGAGCAATAGACTATACCATATGGCCTAGGTGTGTAGAAGGCTATACCATCTAGGTTTGTGTAAGTGAAATCTATGATGTTCACACAATGATAAAATTGGCTAATGACACTGCTCAGAACATGTCCCCACTATTGAGCAATGCATATCTATATAACTCTTTGCTCTGGGACTGGGTTAGGCTATTTTAATTAAGTCTATTTCCCTGTGGTGTTGCTCCTGGAGCCTTTGGGCTCACGTTGACTATCTATTTCCCTGATCTGTCTATTAGGCTGTCAGTCTCAACTGCTATTATGCTCTAGGCCAGTGGTTCTCAACCTTCTGGCCCTTTAAATACAGTTCCTCATGTTGTGACCCAACCATAAAATTATTTTCATTGCTACTTCATAACTGTAATGTTGCTACTGTTATGAATCGTAATGTAAATATCTGATATGCAGGGTGGTCTTAGGCGACCCCTGTGAAAGGGTCGTTCGACCGCCAAAGGGGTCGCGACCCACAGGTTGAGAACCTCTGCTTTAGGCTCTATTACTTACTAACTGATTGCCCTATTTTTGTTTTCATATTTGCCAGCTTTGCTTGTTTCACTGGGGGAGTAGGTACATGGAGCTCCTAATGATGGAAGTGAAAGTCTCACATTTGATTTTTGTGCATTGACCTTGTATCCTGCAACCATGCTGAATTCACTTCCTAGTTCTAAGGTATTTTATAGTTTGGAGGAATTTCTATGTATATAATCATGACATCTACATATATGGAATATTTTATTGATTCTTTTTCAAATCATATGCCCTTTATTTCCTTTTACTGCTTCATTGCACTGGTTAGAATTTTCAGTACTATGTCAAAAGAGTGTAGAGTGGACATCCTTTCATTGTTTCTAATCTTATGGGAAAAGCGTTCAGGCTTTCACTTTCAAGGGTAACAACAATGGTAGGTTTTTGTTGTAGAGGTCCCTTATCAAGTTTAAGTAATTCACCTCTATTCTTAACTTGCCGTACATTTTATCATTAATGGGTGTTTAATTTATGAAGTGGTTTTCTTCATGAATTGATATATTTTTCTTCTTTAGTTTGTTAATATCATGGATTATGTTGATGGACTTTTTTGAACATTCATCTAATCTTACATACCTAGACAGAATTCCACTATGATTCTTTTTATGTGATGTTGGATTCTATTTTACAATATTTTCATGAGGATATTTTATATTTTAGTTTATGAGAGATACTGGACTCTAGGGCTTTTTTTTTGGCATTCTATTAGTCTTGTTTTGGTATATCTGGTACCTCTGATTACCAGAGGCCAGGGTTACTCTGGCTTCATAAAAGTAGTTGGGAATGCTCCCTCCTTTTCTTGTGCTCTCAAGCTACAGTTTTATTGTCTTTACCCTGTGATGATTAGGGCTTTCTTCTACCATAGGGTATGTAGAGAGAATGGTCTGGGGAAAATTTTCAGCAATAGTTGCTGTTTTGTTTCCCTTCCCAAGCCAGAATAAAATATCTTTCTCAGGATTCTTCTGTCTTCCATGTCAGCACTTGGTGGAATTCCTAAAGGAAAAGTCTACAAGAGGATGCAAAACCACCTATGTCTACAGCCTCCAGGGTCTTCACATCTTACACTAGCCCACAGCTAACATTTAGCAATTCCTTAACCATGTTTAGCTGAATTTCTTATGAGTTTATATGTTGTTCAGTAGTATCTATGAAAGATAAACAATGATCTGGATACTGTCCCTGCAGAAGCTTGTCTCTCCAGATTTTAGGTTAGATGTTTGCACCACAATCTCAGTTTTCTGATTCAGTCAAGAGAAGTCAATTTGCAATTTCCAGGGATTTTTATATAGTTATAAAATTCTGCATCCCTGAGTTGATACTAGAAGATCATATGAACCTGGAGACAAGTTTTTGAGGGTCTGTTTGTCTTCCAGCAACCATACCCCAGTTTACCAATTCCCCCACAATGGTGATTATGGTGGGTTTACCAGCTCGAGGAAAGACTTACATCTCTACGAAGCTCACCCGATATCTGAACTGGATAGGAACACCAACTAAAGGTAAGTCTCTGAAACCTTTTGTTATACAGCCCCCTACAGGCTACTGGCTGAAAACAGAGTAAGGTAGTATGCCTTAGTACCAGGAAAGTCTCAGTTATTAATAGTATGTGGACTATTACTGCTACTACTACTGCTATTACTACTACTACTACCACTATACTGTTATAAAATTTAAAATTTCTTGAGCACATACTCTGTACCCTACCCCAGGCTAGGCGCTAGACAGGAAAACTAGTAAGATTAAATATCTTTCCTCAAGGAGCTCCATTTTTGCAAGACCGTGCTCCTCTGAGCTCCCCACAAACCCTTACCACAGCCCCCTGTATGCCAACACTAATTACATAGTGTGTTGTAGCGTGTGCCTGGGTCTCTCTCCCCTGGACCTGCTCTGGGGGGCAAGGGACTAGATCATATTTAATTCTGTCTCTTGAGTATGACAAGACTAAAACTAAATACCAAAAGATAGGGTGCCCCCACATCATACACAATTCAGAATACAAACAGTAAATGTAAGGAAGTCTACCAAAGGTTTTTATTTATTCCCTGATGACTGTGCTGATGCTTTTAAAGAATATCAACATAGCTGAACATTTTTATTGGGCCATGTTCCTCCTTTACGTGTGCACTAGGCAAGTAGTTAGACTTCTCTAGTGAAATGGAGCACACTGCTCTCCAGTGCAGAAAACGGGTCTCTGAGGCATTCATTTATTCACTCAAGCATTAATTATTTGTTTGGATGTTGGGCAAACAAAGACAAGTAAGTCAGGATGTCTGTCCTCACAGAACTCACAGTTCTAAAACACCCGGGAAGGAGGAACTGTTATCATCATTTCACAGTTGATAAAATTAATGCCTGGGAGGTGAAGTGTCTTGTCTAAGGGCACATGGCCAATAAGTGACAGAACCAGGATATGAACCCACATTTACGTGATTCCAAAGCCTGACACTCACTGTACCAGGGCTCTTACTTGGCTGTACTGATGGGAAGAGAAAAGAATCCCACATTGGCCCTGTACCCTCCCTTCCTCCACTCTTTTCCTCTCCTTTCTCTTGCCCATCCCAACACCCTTATTTATCTGCCCCATTCCCAACCCTCCCCCACCACCACCGAGTCTCCTTCTCTCTTCCTCCCATTTCTTCTTTCCCTTAATGCGCTTTCTCTAATTCACTAGTGAAGAGTTTCCCAATGCTTTTCCATGTGCCAAACCCATGCTAGGCATTGGAGATGCAAAAATGGATATGATTCGCAACCTGTCCTTGAAGAGTTTTCCATGTGGTTGTGATGCATAAGAGTACTTCATGTCACCTAGGAATCCCAGATCATGGTATTGAGGGGGCTCACAGAGGAAATTACCAACAGGAAGGCAGTGAAAGCTTCCAGATAGGTTATATTTGAGCTGAGTCCTGTAGGAGAAGTAGGACATTCACAGAACAGAGGACAGAAGGAACAGTTCTCCTGGAGACCTGCAGGCTCACAGGAGCCTCTCCTGAGTGTAGGAGGCACATAACACAGTGGTGGATGGGTCTTAACTCCAAGCTCCTTAGCCTGTTGTTCAAGGACTTCTACAAGCAGCCCCTACAAGTCTCTCAGGCCTCAGTCACAGTGGATGACTCACCATCCCCCAAACATGCTCTGCCTTCTGCCAATGCCCTACCTTTGCTCAAGCTGTTCCTCTACCTAGAATTGACTTTGTCGTCCCCCCCATCTCCCATGTTGGTCCATAAAAGGCCTGCCTCCCTGAAAGGATTAATTCAAATGCTGCTTTCTCCAAGAAGCCTCAGATCACCCAAAGTTAATTAGTCTTTCCTTTCCCCTTACTTTTTCGCATGGCTCTGTCAGAGTACTTGACAAACTAGATGGGAGCTCTGTTTACTGAATTGTTCTCTGTCCTGTCTGATGGATTCTGAGGACTTTGAGAGCCTCATCACACAAATATGGTTCATCTCTGAGACCCCAGAAGTCATGTCCTTCTTCACAGAGTGGGCATCAGAAAAAAATTTATTAGTTGAATGCATGAAAGGTTACTTCACCTTATTGCCTATATCCTCTTTCCTTTCCTTCCCTCCTTTCTGTTTTTTTTACCATTACAAATGAGAAATATGGCTTTAGAGAGGGCTTAAATTTAGTTTCCCTGTCAGGATACAGAAAGATGTAATAACATTGGACTATGATTCAGAAAGCCCAAACTAGTTCTGACTCACTGTTTGACTCTTGGTGATTGATTTTACTCACTGGACCTCAGTTTCTTTATCTTTCCAATGGAGTAGAGCATGAAAAGGGTTGGAGTTTATGATAAACTAAAATTGTGGAAAGACCACCAGCTTTGGAATCAAACAGCTCTGAGTTTAAATTCCAGTTCCCCACTAATTAACTATGAAAGTTACTTACCATCTCTGAACTTCAGTTTCCTCATTTGTAAAATGGAAATGGTGATTCCCACTTTGCAGGATTGTTGTGAACAATAAATCTGGTAGACAAAATTTAAAGCTTTATAAGCATATTATATAGCTACAAATTATACCTTCTTCTACCCCTAAATTCCCTCCCAACAAGGACATGTTTTTGCTACTGAGATCTTCCCAAACTCTTCACCAGTGTTCCCTGCTTTCAGTGTTTAATTTAGGCCAGTATCGACGAGAGGCAGTTAGCTACAAGAACTACGAATTCTTTCTTCCAGACAACATGGAGGCCCTACTTATCAGGAAGTAAGTATCTAACATTTTAGGGACCTGCGCTGCTCCCTGGCTGAGGGAGGGCTTTGTTCAGGTGATGGGGGACTAGGGCAGAACCACTAGGGTTAGCAAGGAGGCCCTCTAGACTCTCAAAGGGTGGTTTGGACAGCCCATCTACCATATTACCTTCAACCTGTTTCTGGTCATAGCTATCCCCTGCTTAAAAACTTTAAACAGTCTCCTACTTCTGACAGGAAAGAATGGAAACTTTTCAGGCTAATATTTGAGACAAGAGTCTCAATAACTTGGCATATTCCAATCTCTCCAATCACATCCATTCAACCTCAAGGTCTCTCTCCTCTAAAAGACTGAGCACTTACAGAAAAGAGCCTGTGTCTCACTTATTGATCCATGCCTTCATAATAGAACCTTGAAAAGAGTAATCATTAAATAGATTTTTACCAAAATCATAAATACATTGCCAATGCCATACATGTGCTTGCACTGGTATCCATATCAAGAATGCCTTCTCCTTCACAGACCATACCCTCAGCCTCTAACTGGGTTCAAGAAGCAGTTCAGTTTGAGCTCTATTAACTCAAGGGATGGAGCCTTTAATAGTATGGCTTCTGTCATTCAGTATTTTCCTGGGCATGCCATTTTCCCCTGTGTGACATCTCTGTGCTTGCCATGGTGCCTAGAAGAAAGGACACCTTGTGTAGATGTTTAATAGGTGAATAATTTAATCTAGGACATCTGAGAGATGGTGCAAAAGATACTGCAGAAAAATGGAGAGGAACCAATCTTGAGGATGGGTCTTGTTTGTTTCTTTCTCCTTTTACAGGCGGTGTGCTCTGGCAGCCCTGAAGGATGTTCATGATTATCTCAGCCGTGAGGAGGGCCATGTTGCGGTAAAGAAATTTGTATTGTTCCCTAGGGTTTCTGCTGGGATGGAGAACAGATAATATGTGTATTGAGCATTCACTGTGTTCCACATGTTATTCTAGGTACTTCTAGATAGATATTATACCCCATTTTATATCCCAGAAGAATGACACACAGATTAAATAATTTCCAAAAATGGCATAGTATGTATGTGTCAGGACAGAACTGTAATCCAGGTTGTGTCGCTCCTGAATCTACAGTTAACTACTATACCTCCCACACCACTCCCAGGAATTTAGCAGCACTACACTAAAATTTAAACTACAGTAAAACATTTTTGAGTTCTGAGATTTCCTAAACATTTTAGTCCGTTTAATCTCAGGCTTTTGAGATAGGATTTGCAAATTCTAAAAGGGGGAAAGATCCTCAAATATGCAAACTGTCCCATCTAAGGTGCTGGAGAGTTGTTTCCTGTTCTTAAAGCGCTCCAGGGTGATAAGGAAGGAAGAAGCCTCACCTAGGAGATGAGAAATCAGTTCTAATTCTGCTCTGTCAACAACTCTCGGTGACCTTGGTTAAGGCAAATCCTTCCTCAAAGGCTCAGCTACTTCACCTGTATAATGACCCTAATAAAACCCCACACTTTTTGCTTGGCCAGCATGGCTCAGTGGTTGAGCATCGACCTGTGAGCCAGAAGGTCATGGTTCAATTCCTGGTCAGGGCACATGCCCATGTTGCAGGAGGCTGCCGGTCAATGGTTCTCTCTCACCATTGATGTTTCTGTGTCTCTCTCCCTCTCACTTCCTCTCTGAAATTGGTAAAAATATATTTTTTTAAAAACCCCACAATTTTTTTCTTGTCTTATTAGACTTACAAAGCCTGCTACATTTCGGGAGAGACATTAGGACTCAATAAGTACTTGAGAAATTGACACAAGCCAATTCCAAATCTTTCCTTTGTTCGTCACCCCGTCCAAGTTCTATCTCCTCCTGGTAGCACTCCACTTGGCTAAATACAGGGATGCTCAAAGAGTAGGCGTTCTATCAGCACCAGACTCATAGTAAACCAATCTCATCATGTGCCTCTAGGTTTTTGATGCCACCAACACTACCAGAGAACGACGGTCACTGATTTTGCAGTTTGCCAAGGAACATGGTTACAAGGTACAGTAACACTGCCACTCTTATCTAGAGCCTACTGATCCAGCACAAACTCCAAAGAAAGGCAAACCAGAGGACTCATCGGTGCCAAATCAGCTACCATAGGCTCAACATTTTAATTTGGTTGAGATGGCTATCCAGATCATGGTTAGAAGCAGCAAAACAGAACAGAACAGGAAAGGAGAGGTGCCACGTTAGGCAATGAAAATGATGGCTGATAGGCTGACACTGTGGGGGCGGGCGGGTGAGGAAAGTGGAGAGAGAACCACTACAAAACACATATATAAGAACTAAAAGCCAGTAAACACAGCAAAGGAAACCATGAACAAAAACGGGGGGGGGGGGAAATCTACCGAATGAGAGAATATATTTGTGATATACTTGATAAGGGGTTAATATCCAAAATATAAGAAATTCATACAACTCAATATTAAAAAAACAAAAAAATCCAATTAAAATGGGTAGCAGACCTGAATATATATTTCTCTATAGGAGACATACAGATGACTGATAGACATAAGAAAAGATGTTCAACATCACTAAACATCAAAACCACAGTGAATACCACCTCATGCCAGTCAGAATGGCTATCATCAATAAGTCAACAAGCCCTGGCCGGGTGGCTCAGTTACTTGGAGCATCATCCCATACACCAAAAGGTGGCAGGTTTGATTCCCAGTCAGGGCACATATCGAGGTTGCAGGTTTGGTCCCCAGTTGGGGCAGATAACTGATCGGTTTCTCTCTCATATTAATGTTTCTCACTCTCTTCCTTCCTCTCTCTGAAAAATCAATTTAAAAATTTTTTAAGCCAACAAATAACAAGTGTTGGTGAGAATGTGGAGAAAAGTGAACCCTCATGCATTGTGGGTGGGAATGTAAATTGGTGCAGCCACTGTGGAGAACAGTATGGAGAGTCCTCAAAAAATTAAAAACAGAATTTCCATGTGCCCCAGAAATACTACTTTGGTTTTTTTTATTCAAAGAAGATAAAAACATTAATTAAAGATATATGCACCCCTATGTTTATTGCAGCATTATTTACAATAGCCAAGATATGAAGGTAACCTATGTGTCCACCAATAGATGAATAAAGAAGATATGGTATATGGAGAACAATTAGGTTCTTAGAAAGAAATAGTGCTCCAAGAAGGATGTGTATATACATACACACACACATATATATACACACACAATAGAATATTACTTAGCAATTAAAAGAATGAAAATTACCATTTCCAACAACATGGATATACCTAGAGGGTATTGTACTAAGTGAAATAAGTCAGACAAAAAAGATGAATACCATATGATTTCACTTATTTATAGAATCTAAAACACACACACAAATGAATAAGTAAAACAGAAACAGACCCATAGATACAGAGAACAAATTTGATTGCCAGAGGGGATCTGGGTGTACAAGGTGAAGGGGAATTTTTAAGTTTTCTTTGGAAAAAAAAGAAAGAAAATTATCATGAATTAATTAGATGAATTGGCACCAGGAGAATTGATTTCAGGTGAAATGGTTTCAGGTGAGCTAAATCCCCATCACCACCGTAGCATGCTACTTACAAAAGGTTGTCCATCCCTCTTGGAACATTGTCTTTCTAAGAGCCTGATTTATTTTGTAGACATTACTTCTAGGATCCCACATTTTAAAAAACAGTAAAAATACAAAGCAATAATCTGGAGCCATTCAATTTAGAGCCCATCTGCCCCATAAAAATCTGAATTCTTAAAAGCACCAGTGAATGAAATTATGTTGTCAGAGATACCCCCAGCCATGAATCAGAGCCATTGAGAAGGGGTCAAGCTCCTATCAAACATAATTCCCTGCTGGAAATCTCTCTTCTGTTTCTCTTATAGGTGTTTTTCATTGAGTCCATCTGTAATGACCCTGGTATCATTGCAGAAAACATCAAGGTAAGGAGCCCCAGTTACCTTTCCTCCTTACTTTGCTTCAGGCTTGGATCATGCCTAAAATTACCTCTATAGGATCAAAGGAGGTATTCTTCCCCAAGATTTTCTTCCCACTTCCTACAGGAAGCATTCCATAACAACTGTGGCCTACAACTTTCCTATGAAATTAAATGAGGCCAGCATATATAGAGTTATTAATATGCACCAGGCTCCAAACTTTACTCTCATTGATTTTTCACAACAAACCTGCATGTTAGGAATCATTTCAGTGTTGGAAACAAGAAACTGAGGTTCCAAGAAAAGTGACTTGTCAAGGGTTTATACAGTCAAAAAGAGGTAGAACTGGGACTGGACCTCAGACTTGGCTATCTGCCTCAAAAGCTCTTTATCCTGCCCCACGATTCACAGCAGAGCTATCACTGCTTTTAGATTCTAGGCATGTGGTCTAGAGCTAGATCACTTACCATATTGTATTGTTCCCCATTTCATCAAATTACTGGAGTTCGGGGACAAAAGAGACCTTAGAAGTCATCTTCAACCCTCCATCAGATACTTGAAATCTCAGGTGAATGTCTAGACATTTTCCTCATACCTCCAGTGACAAGAAGCTCATCACCTTCATCAAGTGCAGTCCAATCAAGCTGAAATCTGCCTCCTTGTAATTTCCATTCAACTGGTCCTATTTTTGCCTCTACAGGCACAGAACATGCCCAATCCCTCTCTTTCCTCTTTATCCATCTATCCATCCATTTATTGATTCAACAGAAAATGAATCCATACACCTGCGCTGGGCCATTCTGGGTATTAGAGACATAGAAATGGATAGAGAAGAATCTTGCTCTTGTGCTCAGTCTAGTGAGAAAGACTGACAAGTTTATAGGCATAATTCTGTGCTATCAATGCTAAGATGAGGGAATAAAGGAGGCTGTGGGAACAGAGTGTTGAGGACCTAACCTTGCATGGGAGGGGTAGGGTGCAACAGGAAGGCTTCTCAATGAAGGTAATAGCTGACCTGCATCTTGAGGAATGCATAGAAATTTGGCAGGCAAAGAATGGGAAGTAAGAGAATAGCATGTATGAAGTATGGCATCTCCAGGGAACTGTAAGTTGCTTAGGTTGGCTAAAGTAAAGTGTGCAGAGGAATAGGGGAGTAATAGATGAAGATAAAAAATCATTTCAGGCCCAATCATGATAAACCATGAGTCACCCGCTAAAATATTTCATACTTTGTCCTAAAGTATATGAGAAATGGTGAAAGGTCTTAAGCAAGGGAATTCCATGGTCAGATGTGCATGTTAGAAATATCCTTCTGGCTATTAGTATGGGAAATGCATCAGAAATAACAAGATTTTATTTTATATATTTTTATTGATTTCAGAGAGGAAGGGAGAGGGAGAGAGAGATAGAAACATCAATGATGAGAGAGAATCATTGATCAGCTGCCTCCTGCACATCCCCTACTGGGGATTGAACCCACAACCTGAGCATGTGCCCTGACCCGGAATAGAACCATGACCTCCTGGTTCATAGGTCGACGCTCAACCACTGAGTCACACCGGCTGGGCAGAAGTAACAGGATTTTAGACAGAGTGATCAGTCACAAAGCTATCATGAACATTCAGGCAAAAGAAAATGCAGGCCAATTAAAGAGATATTTATAAGATATAGTGGAGAGGATTTTGGTGCCTGCTGAGAGGAGGGGAATGTTAGAAAGGGACACATCTAGGATGACTCCCAGTTGCCTTTTAGGCTCAGTTGACTGAGTGGATGATAGTGCCATTCACTGAGATGGGTGAAGAAGGTAGGTATTGAGAGAATTGGAGATGCCAGCCCTAAAGCAAACATACCATATTCTCCCAGGAAACACTCAATACATGTAAGCTATTGTGACCCCTGGCCAATATCTCCTGTTCTTCAACCATTTCTCATGGCACAATCTCCAGGCCTCTTATAAATGTTCTTTTTAAGCAGTGCGTTCTAGAACTGAATATAATGCAACAGACCTTGTTTGGCCACATAGAGATATAAGTAATGAAGAGTCACACAGTCCAGATTATCTTCCACTGACTCATTTTATAAACTTGAGCAAGACCCTTTCTCCAACTCCCAATTTTGCCATCTTTATTATGAGGGATGTTTTACTCAATGATCTCTAACGGCCCTTCCCAAGGGCCCTGTCAGAGTCTCTGTCTTCCACAGTCCCTCTGTCCTTCTCTCTTCTCCCAGCAAGTGAAACTCGGCAGCCCTGATTACATAGACTGTGACCGAGAAAAGGTTCTGGAAGACTTTCTAAAAAGAATTGAATGCTATGAGCTCAATTACCAACCCCTGGATGATGAACTGGACAGGTAAGAGCCCAGAACTCCACAGTCCAGGTCTGAATGCTTAGCCCTGTTTCAATATGCTGTAGGACCTAGGGACATTTCTTCCCTCTCTGGACCTCACTCAGCTCCTCTATCTGTAACATCAGGGAGCTGGACTTGATTTGTATTCAAGGACCCTCCTAGTTCTAATTATCAATGAGGTGGTGATTCATTGATGTTCAAGGTGTTCACAAGAGGATTGAAGTAGTGTTTTCCTGAGCAATATGGACATATCGGGGACCTGATCTCTGGTGGGGGGGCGTGGACAGACATTTATATTTATAGTTCCTCCTGTCTTTGTTGCTATTATTTTTTGAAAAGTATTCTTTACTCGTGGATAGCATTTCAGATTCCAAACATGTTCACCTTCTTTGTTTCATTAAATCCCCTGTAAAGGGCACTAAAATAGGTCTTATGATCATAAATTTTCAAGAAGAAGAAATTGAGTCTTAGAGAGCTAAAACTGCTTGCCCAAGCTCCCACTATTAAAGCTAGGATTCTAACCACATATTCTGTCTCCTAGCCATGTCTCTTCTTACAATGCCCACGTATACCTCTTCAATCAATAAGTAGTTGGTCCCTCCAGGCTGTGGTGTACATAGGGAGTGTAAATAAGAGCAAGAGAGGTGGGTTCCATTCTCAGGTAGCTTCCATAGTGTCTTGAAACATGGGAAGACACATGAAAAATTTGAAACTTTTATTCCTAATACCAGATAAAGATGGGAGAGGTGTTAGCTGTCAGTACAGGGAAAATGAAAGTTTTTGACATAGGTTGCTCCCAGAGCCCTGCCCTTTTTCAAAATGGGTTGTGATGAGAAGAGACTTTCAGAGTCACTCAGACTCTTTGTAATCCAAGTGAGAGGGGTAAGGAGGTTTCAAGCTAAATACTACCCTAAGAAGTTTCAAGAACATCTTTCTAACCCTGTCAACCCTGTCTAACTGAAGTCCTAAGAGGTGAGCATTGTTACTACCTCACTACTCAGATAGGGAAAGAGAGACCCAGAGCAGGGCAAGGGCTTATCTGAGGCCACATAATGAATCAGTAGCAGCATATATACTCAAACGCTTATCTCCAAAATTCCAGCCTGGTTCTTCCCTTCTCACATCCCCAAGTCATAAAAAGCGTCACATGAGGCTTAGACACACAGTGCAAGGGGCAGGACCTTAGGTACAATTGTGAAGATTGTTCACTGTGCAAGGATCTTTAGGTCAAGGGTATACTTACTTTTCTCAGAAAAGCATATGTGCTGGAGTGCGGCTGTTTCTGCCCTGAGGAAAGTGTAACTTTTTCCAGTTTCCACAGGCAGCATAGGGGCTAGCAGCCTATGGTGAAAGAAATTTGAAGGAGAGGAGCTGAGGTGAAAGAGTGGCATTGAGAAAGCCCCTAGCCTTCTAGCCTTCAACCTATATTCCTGCAGGTGCTCAGTTAGTGTTTGATGAATCAGTTTGAGTATCACGGTTGACTTTAATCATTTTTCCATGAACAGACATTTATAGTCCATGCCTCAGGGCCCAGCCCTAAGCTCTGCCCTAGGAACCCAAACAGCGAAGGTCTGTCCCTGCTTCTGCTCTGATACAATGACCATTTGGTTGGGGAAGACCATGAGTATGCAGTTGATCAGAATAGCGGGGATGATCAAACAAGTGAGCTGGAGGAACACAGAGGAGAAGACCCAGCTCATCTTGGAGGAAGAGGTCTAGAAGAGCAGGTTTACCCAGTTAGGTAGACTCGACATGTGTTTAGGGCACCAATAAGGAAGAGGCTACCAAAAATAAGAAGAAAATGATCTTGAAATATTTTATATTTCCAGCATTAAGGTAGTCAAAATAGTAAAAATAAAACCAGAACTTGGTAGAACCTCCTTATAATATAGATTATGATTTTTATTTTAAATTATATGTGGTAGGGTAGAGTATTAGCTATGGTAATACTTTTTTGTGTGAAACACTTCTAAGTGACTTCACATGTCTGGGCTCAAAGAAGTCTTCCTAGAGAGAGTGAATGTACTGGCCCTAGAAGGATGGATGCGTAGGGACTCAACTTTGGAGACCAGGCAAGGAACACATTTTCAAGCAAAGAGAATAGCACTTCATAATGGCCTAGTTAAATCTGAATAAGAGTAGAGGAATACAGAGAATCACCCAGAAAAAAAGCATAAAGGCTAGAGTAAAACAGAAGTTGTGAGCATGGGCCTGGAACAGTGAGGCGAGGCCAAATGGGACCAGTGTGTGAAGGCACCGAGAATGTCAGACTAAGCTGAGGAATTTGGAAATTCTCCTAGAGCCACCAAGAATTTAGTGTCAGGAACAGACAGTAACCAGACAACAATGCTACATCATATATTTTCTACCCTCAAGCTCTGACAGTCCTTGGAGAGGTTGACCTTAGGCAAATCACTTCCTTCTCTCTGTTTCAGTTTCCTCACCCATAAAACAGAGATAATAATCTCTGCTTCCTATGATTGTTATGAGGATTCATGCACTTTGAAGTCTGCATTCCCTGCCAGAAGCTCCCAAAATGTTCAGCAAATATGAATGCCCTATGGGACCATTGGACATGAATGACAGGAAAGGGCATGCTGAGTATGGTGCAGATAGAAAGGCCTTCTTTAGGAAAACCAGAGAGGCTTTCTGAAACCAAACCCATCGCTCACCGCCTTACCTGCAACCATTTCCATTCACTTGGTTTTGTTACTGTGCACACAGGGTTGCTAGTGTGTCACCCCATTGCCCCAGCCTCCCCCACCTCTTTCCAGGGATCACCCTGAACTCCTTATAATAAAACAACTTAGGAGTTAGTGCCTGGCACAGCAGATACCTCAAAGTCTTGCTCCATGGTTCTAGTCTTGATTAGTCAAAGTCCCCCACTTAGAGCTCCTCTGCAAACAGGTTGTTGAATAATTTGATTATCATTCTGCGTATAGTTATTGGTTCATGACAAAGAATTGAGGAGACTGAAAAGTGGTTCTAAGCAAGGACCACAAGTTCCCCACTGATGTTGTGAACCACATCTGTATTCCCATGCCCAGCACATGACACACCTTAGAATGTGTTTGTGGAATGGGTGTTGAGCATTGGTCATGAATTTCTAAGTATATATTCCTAACTGGCCTAAGAACTCCCAAGCACAATGCTTAGAACAGACAAGGATATGTTTGTTGACTGCTTGGCCGATAGGGAAAGAACCTAACACACTCCACTTTCTGAGTAAGGAAAGATACATACACACAGAGACACAGCACACACAATCTGGTAACTGCCTATAGAGTGTCAATTACAATATATCACAGCAGAGATTCAAAGAACAGAGAAGCAGAGCTCAGCTCATGATTTGAAAGGGTGAGGGAGTGGACAGGTTTGGAACTGCTGGGGAGATGTTGGAGGTATCCAGAGACACAGAGGATTACTGCTTCTCTCCAAGTATGTCAGGAGTGTGAACCACAGAAGACAGAACCCCAGATGCCTGGAGTGTGATAAGTGAAGGTGAAAAGACAACCTGGCTCAAGTTGAGACTGAGAAAAGAATACAGAGGGAGATGGTAGCAGGCAGTAAGCTTCTGAAGGTGGCCAGGAAGCAAGTTTCTGAAACGGGTACCTAGAATAAGAAAAGGCATGGCATCTGGTTAGAGAAAAGGTAGGTGAAAGCTGGGTTGTGGAGGAAGCTTGAAGGCAGGGTGTGTAGTTGGGGTTTCTCTTGGGACTAGCCTTTCCACCATCAGCCCCTGAACTGCCCTTGCTCTTGCTTGGACTGGCCCAGCCACCTGTCCTACATCAAGATCTTCGACGTGGGCACACGCTACATGGTGAACCGAGTGCAGGACCACATCCAGAGCCGCACAGTATACTATCTTATGAACATCCACGTCACACCCCGCTCCATCTACCTATGCCGGCATGGTGAGAGTGAACTCAACCTCAGAGGCCGCATTGGAGGTGACTCTGGCCTCTCAGCTCGGGGCAAGCAGGTAGGGAAGGCCCCATGTACCCAGAGGCATTGGCTGATCTGGACCAGGGGGTGCCACAGGTGGGTGGAGTAGCCACTACCTGGGTCCTGAGGATTGCGAGTCTCAGTGACAGGGTAGAAGCAGGTTCTGGTCACTCCCACTCTTCTGCCCTGATAGCCACTCAGTCTTGAACCATCCTTGAATGCTACCATGTGCCCACAGGAGCTGCAAGGCTGAGAAGCTAGGTCTTGGCACTCCAGTCCTGCTCATATCTGGCTGCTTCTCCAACCCCAGCATGATAAGCACCTTGGCCCCTGCCTGACTGGTCCCCTCATCTTCCTCACAACTCTATGCCTTTACTTGTGCAGTTTCCCCACTTAGGTTGCCTTCCTCTGTCAGCCGATGACCACCACTTGCACAGACAGCTACCCTGAAGTGCCCTACCCTTGAATCCATCTTCTCCTCCCTTAGGGCTGATGCTATACCCCCTCCAGCCCACTGCAGATCATCACGCTGTCAGCACTTATCTCCCACCTGTTACTGCTTCCTTCCTGCCCCACCTCCCACACCCCCTTCCAGGGTCCATTTGCTGCTCCATGGTCTGGTCTAAGAAGCCCTTCCCTGTCCTCTCCAGTCCCCAGACAGCTTACCATGCCCTGGGCTCCATCTCTCCCAGTACTGGCCCATCTCTGACTTTATGGCATGAGTCCTTTCTGCCCAGCTAAGCATGGTGACCTGCACATTATGGGTGCTGGCTCACTCAATGGACACATTTTCCCCAGTGTTCAGCCCTGTGCCTAGGCTTGTTAGCACAGGTTCTTGCTGGGGGAATCGCTTGGGGATGGGACAAATGGGATGTGGGTGCGCAGGGAGGAAACGCCCTCTTTCATTGGACACTTGTGGCCTCATTTAATCTTCTCAGCAGCTCTGTGGGGTGGGCATTACCATCACCAGTTTATGGATAAGGAAGCTGAGTCCCAGACAGGAGCAGAGAGCAGCCCCAGGTCAGACACAGCGGGAGCCAGGACTGAAAACCAGGCCTTCCTGGCTGCCCTCAGCAGCCCCACTGCAGAGGTGGCATTGTCACAGGCAAGGGACTGCACCTATCCTTGTGGCTCCCTTTCCGTGGCCTTCACACTGGCAGCCTCCCCTCAAGAGGGACTCCCCTCAAGAGCAGAGTCAAAGGCCACCAGAGGCATCACCCCCACCTCGTGGCACCACCTGCAGGGTTGTCTTGGGTGGGGCTGGCCACGTCCTTGCCCACCTAGCTCAGCACCCAGCTTGGACACATGGCCATCTCCACACACATGTGAGCATGGACACACACCCGCCTGGCCCCCACCTTCACGTGTGGGCACAGTGCACCACACACTTCCCCAGGGACTGTCACCACATCCATTACAGTAGCTCACCGACCGTGTGCCAGGGAGTGCTCTGGGCGCTCCCCATCCACGAACTAATCTCCACTCGCAGAGACCAGGCCAGGTGAGCGAATGCTGTTCAGATCTCACAGCAGGAGATCCCAGGCCAGAGAGGGCAGGGACCCCCAGGGCACAGGGAGCCGGGTGTATGGGAGCTGCAGCAGTTTAACCCCATCACCTACCCCCCCGCCCCCAGTCAAGGGCTGCTTCCACCAGAGCACACTGACTGCTGCTGACTCAGAACCCGCCCTTAGACTGTGTGCACCCAGTGCCCATATTCGTACGTGTAAACGCGCGCCTGTGTCTATGCGTTTGTGCCCATGCTCCTCACACACATCTGTACACAGAGTAACGTGCCTGGACGCAGAGGAGAGCGAGGCACTGGCTCCTCGGGGCTCCCACCGCCCGCCCTTCGTGGTTTCTCTCGGTGCTGTCACCATTTCCTTCCCTGGACTGGCTGTGTCTTGAGAACAGGACACCCTGATATTCAGTGCAGGTCCACACTTACTCAGCACATGTTTGAATGTGGTTAGAACCTGGGTATCAGCACCCCTACTAAAGCAATAAGAATTCAAAGAGTCAAAGAGAAATATTCCCCAAATCCCACTCCACCACATCTAGACCACACTCTGAGTACCCAGAACCCAAGAAATCTCTGCCCTGTGGTCTGGTGTCTGTTTCCAGTGTCTGTGTGGCCCTATCACTGAGTCTGTCCACCTAAAAGCAGGCCATATCACAGGAGTGTTCACCCCTAGGTCAAGGTGTGGCCAAAGGGTCACTGTTTGTGGATCGGGGGATCTGTGAGGATATGGTGTGGGCAGAACTTGTCATGTGACTGGATTATCCACAAACCTGAACTCAAGGCATCTATGAGTGCAGGATGGAGGCAGGAAGAGAAGGGAGGTGGACTGTGGGTGGAGAGCCTCCCTATGCACTCTTGTCCCAGTCTCCACAAATGTTAGAGGTGGACTGTTTGAAGGAATGAATAACCGACGGCGGTGCGAGGGGGGTGGGGGGTTCAGTGAACAAGCAACAACAAACAAACGCACACACATAAATGCACATATTCTATTCTATTCCCTTGATCCGTAGTCACCTGGGAAAGTATATGGCTTTTTATAAATTGGAAACATTTAAACTGTATTCTTGCTTGTTCATCATCATTCTATCATTTGTGATAGATCTGCGCTTGTTCTCATGGCTACCCTGTCTTCTTTCATCTCTCTCTCTTTCTCCCCTCCTCTCCTCATCTGTACCCCCTACTTTCCAGTATGCTTATGCCCTGGCCAACTTCATTCAGTCCCAGGGCATCAGCTCCCTGAAAGTGTGGACCAGCCACATGAAGAGGACTATCCAGACAGCTGAGGCCCTGGGCGTCCCCTATGAGCAGTGGAAGGCCCTGAATGAGATTGATGCGGTGAGATGTAGGGGAATGGATTTCCTGGTGGATGGTGGGGCTTCACTCTCAGCTTATACCCTGGGTTGTCTCTGCTGGCTCCTATGGTAACCTAATTAATTCAACAAACACTTCTTGACAACCAGTCATGTGCCAGGCACTATTCTGTGTGTTGAAGATCCATGAAGGCCAGAACAGACAAGTTCTCTGAACTCATGGAGCCCCTATGCAGACAGTAAATAAGACACTGCATCTCATGTGACAAAGGGTTGTGAGAGGAAGTACAGGAAGTACAAGGGACTATGGAGGCTGAAGGTGCTTCTGACAAGACTTAATGGTGTGAGATTTACAAGGAAAGCTTCCTAGATGAAGGTGGAGATGAGAAAAGAAACAGGCAAAACGGTCTGGGAGTGAGGGAATAAATTAAATTTCAGTGGCAAGGAACAGCTCATGTGAAGGCCCAGAGATGAGAAGAGAGCATGGCATGTTCAGAGAACGGAGGCTAGAACAGCAGAGAGGCTGGGACAATGATTGTGAGGTCTGGAGATACGGGAGATAAGGTTGGAAAGGAAGGTAGCTCATAGGGCTTTATATCGTGTTGAGGAATTTGGATGCTGACCTATAAATGGGAAGCCATTGATGTAGTCTAAGTCAAGGAGGAATGGCTTGAATGTGATTCACTTTTAAAAAATAAAATAAAAAAGACCATTCTGGCCACGTGTGGAGACTAGGTAGGAAGAGGGCCAGAACGAGCATGTAAACTGGTATGGAGGTGACTGCATTAGTCCAGGAAGAGGTGAGGGTGCGATGGACCAGAGTAGTGGCACTGGAGATGGAACGAAGAACTTGAGGAATATTTTATCGGACCCTTATCACATGGCAATCTCTCTTTGGGTCAGGTTTTCCCATGAGCTCTTTTTAAAAATGTTTTTATTTGTTTTAGAAAGAGAGGGAGGGAGAGGGAGAGGGAGAGAGAAACATCAATGATGAGAGAGAATCATTGATTGGCTGCCTCCTGCACACCCCACACTGCAGAAAGAGCCCACGACCTGGGCATGTGCCCTGACTGGGAATTGAACCATGACCTCCTGGTTCATAGGTCAATGCTCAACCATTGAGCCACACTATCTGGGCCCATGAGTTCTTTGAAAAGGCATTGTTTCCTCTCCATTGTTTCACCTGCACTATAGATACACTGATATCAGATAGCGGCACATAGGTTATGATTGTTAGACCCCAAAGTAAAAACTTCACCACAGATACAAATAACTTGAATGTAGGTAGGTTAACCTTCTTGCCTACTAAATAAGCCTCTATAAATACTGACAAGTATGTGTGTGTGTATATATACATACATACGTCCTTAACGATAGATGTACAGTGATACCCATACTTACAAAAAGGGATATGTAGCATCGTTCTGCATATCACATGTATTTGCTATAAGATACATGCAAGAAAATATGTCAACTCTTCATCCTAAGAGTTCAGTTATGGTTTGTTTCTTGCACACATGTGATATAAACATTTATTTGATACCTACTTTGTTTCGCAAAATCTGTTTCACATATTTTGGTTCCTGTCTTCACTGAATTTTCAGGCTAAACAGGTTAGAGGAATACAAAGCAGTGTGTGTAATACAGGCTCTGGTAGGCTAGACTGTGGGCGCACAGATGTCGGGGCAGGACAGGTGACCCAGCCAGGATCTGCCTGGAGGAAGTGATGCCAATGTTAACTTGGAAGGTTAATAGTGAGCCAGATAGAGAATATCAGGAGTGGTATACCAGGCAGAGAGAACAGCTTAAACAAAGAGCGTATTGTGTGTGTGCAGCTGCTAAGGTTGTAGCAGTGGGGGCTAAGAGGGAGGAAAAAGGAATAGATTTGAGAGAAATTTAGGAGGTAGAATCCTAGCAATGGGTTATGAGGGTGTGGATGAGGAAGAAGCAAGAATTTAGAATGATGCCTACGTTTCTGGTTTGTTTTCCATGATCAATAATATATTGTTAATTAGTTCCATTTATTGAGTCTTTAAAATGTGCCTTGTATATCCTGTACTAGTCTCTTTTGCACATATTACCTCTAATATTCAAAACACTCTTGTGGGGTCATTGTAATTCTCCTTGTTTTGCAGATGAGGAAAATAAAATTCAGAGAGGTTAGGCAGTTTTCCTTAAGTCAATAGGGAATCAGTGACCATTTCCACTGGCAACAGGTTCTCAGAATGCCTCTGAATAGAAAGTTAAAGCCAATCTGGAAGGATGTTGTGTCCTATAGGGTGCACTTTCTCCCATGGGCAGGGCCAGTTGAAGAAGTTGGACAATGCATAGCTGTTTTTGGGCTGGGGAAGAGGTGAACCTCACACCAGAGCCTGCTGCTTCTCCTACAGGAAGGTCTAATTCTTGGAATCCACACAACCAGATGGAAAACCAACATCGCTTCCCCACCCCACCAGCAGCCACCTCACTTCTGGGGATTTCTAAGTGGACTCAGAGTTCTCATATGCTCCCGAGGGACAGTCTCTGAGCTCTCGATTCCTCCTTTGGGTAAAGAGAGTGTATCTCCCTTAGGCCCACTCTGAAACTGTTAGGGATTTACTAATGATTGCCTTCTGAGATGTCTGTGGATAGCTGTTTCTTTATCTGCCAGAGATCCTGGAGCAGAGGTAGGGGCAGGAGGGATGAGAGATGCTCTAAAATGGGAGAACCCTGCTGTGGATGTGCATAAACTTGCACACACAGTCACACTCACCACAGTATGCTTACAGTCACGGACATGCACTTCATGGACACTAGTCAGACACAGGCTCCCTCTCAGACACATCTACCAATAACAGCTACACCATACGCACAGACGTATACACACTTACAGACACACCTAGAGATACATGCAGACACAATCACAATCACTATAGACACACATGCAGTCTTTGCAAATTTCTACATCACATGAGCACAGAGGCGTACCATGGGCACACGCACAGTATATCACACAGCCTCAAGCATATTATCACAAATTCACACAGGCTTCAGGCATAGGCACACAGATGTTCACACATATCCACCAGAAACATAATCAGGGACATACACACTCACAGATACACATGCCACAGACACACTGAGGTGCACATGGAAAGACAGACTACAGAAACATTCACGGAGGCATTTTCTCAGATGCTCAGACACCCTGTACACACACACAGTCACATGAGCACACTACATATGATGAGACACATATACAAACACAAAGCATAGATCCCTAAACATACCACAGGTACACACCATGAGCAAGCTGCACACACACATGCAAAGTCACAAATCCTTAAGCCCACATATTTATTTTTTTTTAAATCATCACCCAAGGATATTTTTTCATTGATTTCTAGGGAGTGTTGGAAGGGGAAGGAGAAGGAGCAAGAGAGAGGAGCATCAATGTGAGAGAGACACATTGATTGGTTGCCTCCCACACGCACCCCTACAGGGGCTGGAGCACCTGCAACCGAGATAAGTGCCCTTGACTGGGAATCAAATCCGTGACCCTTTGGTCCATGGGCCAATGCTCTAACCACTGAGCAACTGGCCAGGGGAAAGCCCACATATTTATAAAAATACATACACATATGTACAATATACACCTACAAACCTATTAGGACAATCATATAGGAACACCAGAGACCCACCATGCTGAACACATCTATACATATGCACTCTCACATCTGCACAGCCACATACCTCATGCACACACACACACACACACACACACACATATACACTCAGACAACAGGCACAAACCTAAAGCTGTGTTCAAAGAAACCTAGGTGCTACTGTTCTACAATCATTTGGCCTTAAAACTATGGTAAAGGCTGGCCAGGCTGGCATGGCCCAGTGGTTGAACATCAACCTATGAACCAGGGGGTCACAGTTCAATTCCCAGTCAGGGCACTTTCCCGGGTTTCAGGCTTAATCCCTAGTGTGGGGTGTGCAGGAGGCAGCCAGACTGTGTGGATTTCACCATGTGAATACTTTTGTCCCCAAATAATTTTTCCTCAGGGTGTCTGTGAGGAGATGACCTATGAAGAAATCCAGGAACATTACCCTGAGGAATTTGCACTACGGGACCAAGATAAATATCGCTACCGCTATCCCAAGGGAGAGGTAAGCTTTGAAGGGTGGACTGATTCCTAGAACTCCTCCTCAGTATCCTCATTCCAACCCTCGAGGTTTCTTAGTTTCCTAGATTGCTTTCGAAACAGAATAAAGCATATATTGCAGCAACTGCCACCCCACAGGCACATGATTATCTGGCCCTTGGCTGACTCAGATTCTTGGCTATGGGCAACAAATTCCTCTGTTTTAAAAGGAGGCTGGGGGAGGGGGGAGGTCAGTGGGGAAAAAAAGAGAGAGAGATATGTACTACTATTTGTAATACCTTAAACAATAAAATTTAAAAATAAATAAATAAATAAATAAATAAATAAATAAATAAAGGCTATACGTTTGCCCTGGCCAGTGTTTCTCAGTGGTTAGAGCATTGGCCCATGCACCAAAGGGTCTCGGGTTCAATTTCCGGTCAAGGGCATGTACCTGGGTTGCAGGTTCGATCTCCCACCCTGGTTGGGTTTGTGTGGGAGGCAACCAATCGATGTGTCTCTCTCACATCGATGTTTTTCTCTGCCCCCACCTCTTTCCCTTCCTACATCCCTCGCTTCCACCCTCTCTAAAAATCAATGGGAAAAATATCCTCTGGTGAGGATTAAATAAATAAATGAATGAACGAATGAAATAAAAGCTACATATTTGCCTGCTGTTTCCTCTCTGCTTTCAGGAGGACTCACCTTACCTAGACTTTGTTTCTGGTATACTTTCACTAAAGGCACTTGAACTACTTCAACATACTCTTTGGGTTGGAGTCCAAATGGACAATGGCTAATATTTTAACCTACTTCTTTGCCACCACATAAACCAGACCATCAGTTCTCTATCCCCATAAGAAGTTAATCCTCATTGCTTTCTACACCGCCTCCATTTAGCCAGTTGTACATTTTAGAGTATTTATTAGTCATACCCCATTTCTGACACAAATTCCTGGGAATAGTTATCAGAAAAGCTAACATCAGGGAATATAAAACAATTGGCAAACTCAGACCAACTTTATAATGTCATTTCTGAGGATGAAGATAAAAAAGTGAAAATGCTTTGTAATGAGTTTGCCCTCATTTTCCTTTATATATTTTGAGGCTGTGTCATTAGCGGCATATAAATTTAAAGCAATTATATCTTCTTAGCAAATTGTATATTTTATTATTATATAGTGAGCAAACCTCCTTTCTCCTGAAAATGGTTTTGCCTAAAAGTGTATTTCATTTAATATTAGCATAGCTATATAAGATTTCTTATAGTTAGTATTTGCCTAGTTCATCTTTATCTGCTTATTATTTTGAGCTTCTTTTTGTCTTTTTGTTTTGTGTCTATTATAAACAGTGCATAGTTGACTTTTGTTGTTTTTAATACAAATTGCAAATATATGTCTTTTGAATGGTAGGTTTGGTACATTTACTTTTATTGTAATCACTAATTTGTTTCAGCTTATTTCTGGTCTCTTGTCTGGAGCTCTCTATGCTTTATTTTTTCTCTTTTCCTCCCTTCTTTAGAATTGATAGAGTTTTTAGATCTATATTTGAGTTATATAATCTGTTTCTGTTCTTTTAGAGGTTGCTCAACATTTTAATATGCATGACTAACAAAATCTAAAATCTACCTTTCCCCTAAATTAAGATAAGAATTTTAACTCTGGTCATTCCCTCTCCCAACTTACATGTTCATTACTGTTTTGTATTTTAGTGCAACCTTGTGTCATAATCTTCAAATGAGTTCTTATTGTTATTATTAAACATGTTATTGTATACAGTCGGTGTTTGTTTATATTTAATCACATGTTTACCAATTTCTTTGATCAATTTTTCTCCTTGCATCTCAAGTTTTCCCTCTGGGTTCAATTTCCATTTTCCTTTAGAAGTTTATTTAGGAGGATCTGTTGGTAGTAAACTCACCATTTTTGTCTAAAAATGTCTTGGTGGGGTTCAGTCCTAGATGATACTTTTGGTATAAAACTCTAGGTTCATGGTTGTTTTCTCTCAGCACTTTGAAGATAGTACCCCCACAATGTCTTCTGACTTCTAATGGCTAAGAAGTCTCCTATCAGTCTAATTGGTATTTCTTTTCTCTCTGCCTGTTTTTAGGGTCTTTGTATCTTTTTTGCTTTTAAGTTTTACTCTGATATGTCTAAATATTCATTTCTTTTCATTTATCTTGCTTGAGTTGGACTCCTGTACCTGAGAATTGGGATTTTCATCAATTCTAGAAAAACTCTTAGGCATTATATCTTTAACTATTCTTCTCTCACATGCTCTCTATTATCTCCTTCTGGAAACACAATTAGACATGTGTTAGTCCTGTCTCTATTCTTTAGGTCTCCTAACTATTTTTCTTATTTTTTATCTCTTTGCTGCAGTTGAAATAATTTCTTCAGCTCTGTCTTCCAAATTCCTATTTCTTCCATTGTATCTAAATTTCTGTTTACTCCAACAATTTAAATTTTAATTAATATATATGTATTATTTTGTTTCTAGAATTCTATTTAGTTCTGTTTCAAATCTACATGTATTTGGTAGCATCTTGTTTCTTATAATTTTTACTCCATCTTTTAATTTTTAAAAATTTTTAAGCATATTCATTTTATATTTTGGATTATTTATCTTGAGTTTTTAAAGTTCTCATCTTGTTTGTTTTTTCTGTTTATTTTCATTCATAATAGTTTATTTTTCTTTGTGTATTGTGAGCTTCAGTTTGGCAAAAATTTATCTGTGGGATTCCCATGTGGTCTGAGTTGAAAGAATCCAGAGAAAATGTCTATTTGCTTCTTCCAGACACTCCAAGAAGCTAACAACTTGAATCACTTTTTATTAAACTCTCAGCTTAGCATTTTCTAAAACACATGAATAGTGTAATTCTGAACCAAAAACCCACTTGAGGGTAGACTTGTGGTTGTACATTCTTATAGGAGACATTTTCTAAATTTTTATACTCAGAGTCAAACAGAGACAGATATAAGTTCTTATTGTTACCCTTTGCCTATATATACTTTTTTTCTAGTTTACACTTTTATTGAGGATGTAGCCCTTTGAGGGTCTCAGGTTTATTGGAGAAATTCAGTCCCAACTCCCTACTTTGTATATACCTAAGGCCTTGTCTCATGTCTCTATAAGGTTTTAAAAATTCAGGCCTCACCCAGCCAGTGTGGCTCAGTAGTTGAGCATCAATCTATAAACCAGGAGGTCACAGTTCCATTCTGGGTCAGGGCACATGCCCGGGTTATGGGCTAGATCCCCAGTAGGGGGCGTGCAGGAGGCAGCCAATCCATATTCTCTCTCATCATTGATGTTTCTATCTCTCTCTCCCTCTCCCTTCCTCTCTGAATTCAATACAAAATATATTTAAACAATAATAATAAAATAAAAATAAAAACTCAAGCCTCTTGGAAAATATGATTATAGATGCCCCCATGGCAGTTGTTGCTTCCACATCCACTTAGCACCCTTGTTTACCACGGTTTTCTTCATTTTGGAACCCTATCTTTATAATGTTTCCTTAATTTTCTTGAAAAGTCAGCAGTGCGGACATTTATTTTATCTAGCTTTTCTAGGAATTTTTTGTAGTGAGAAGTTTTATTATTGTTATTGATATCTAGTTGAATATATTGATTGCTCCCCATTTAACAGATGAGAAACCAAGACCCTAAGAAGGAAGTGAGTTGCCTAAGGTCGTACTGCTGGGTCAGTAGCTGAACTGACACCACATCCAGGTTTTCCTGGTTTCTAGTCTAGAGTTCCTCTCCTCTGGACAAATGCGCCTCATCTCCCTTTCTTAACCAAAGTATTTTCTTCTTTTTAGTCCTACGAGGATCTGGTTCAGCGGCTGGAGCCGGTTATAATGGAGCTAGAACGGCAGGAAAATGTACTGGTGATCTGCCATCAGGCTGTCATGCGGTGCCTCCTGGCCTACTTCCTGGATAAGAGCTCAGGTACCACTGTCCTCTCTGTTCCTGGCATGGGGAGCTGGATGTCATTTGAGACCCCGACACTAGCAATTGGTGGTTTATATCCTCGTAGTTAAGAGCACAGTGTCTAGAACAGTGATGGCGAACCTATGACTTGCAAACTCATTTTTTTTTGGTTGATTTTTCTTTGTTAAATGGCATTTAAATATATAAAATAATTATCAAAAATATGTCTTTGTTTTACTATGGTTGCAAATATCAAAAAATGTCTATATGTGACACGGCACCAGAGTTAAGTTAGGCTTTTTCAAAATGCTGACACGCCGAGCTCAAAAGGTTCGCCATCACTGGTCTAGAACAAAGATGCCTGAGTTCAAGTTCTTGCTCTGTCACACACTAGCTTTGGCAAATTACTTTAACCTGGCCTCGGTTTCCTCATCTCTAAAATGGGAAAGAAAATGATGAAGTTTAAATAAATCAAAATGTGTAAAGAGCTTAAAATAGTTCATGACACATAGCATGGGCTACATAAGTCTTAGCTACTATTATTAGTATTACTACGATTCTGAGCTAACGTCTTCAAAGCCGGCCTTAACAGTCTGCCTTGATCTGGAAAACCTAAGCTAGTATTTCTCTGAAGCATGCTATCTGCAGATGGTAATGGACCTTCCCTGACCTCATGATCCTGATTTTAGGTTTCTATATTTGCTGTAGAGGTGATTTTCTCAAGATAGTGTTTCCATTGTTTTACATTTAAATGATTATTTCTTTTTCTAAAAAATATCTAGACATTGTTGAGTATTTATACACTCAGTACACATACTGAGTTGCAAACTCAGGCAGGTGGCCTGGCAAGAGACTATTGTGCCACCTTCGAGTGACAGAGTCCACTTTTGATGGGGATGCTGACATATTGGCATCTCCTGGACACTGTGAGGGTGTGTGAGGACAGTGCAAAGCCGTATTTGAAGTGGGCAGTGTTTGCAGATTTGTATCATTTCTATGTTGTTAATTTCAAAATCAAGGGCACTCGGAATATAGAGTCATCCAGATTTGGAACCTGGGGAACTTGAGAACTTCACATTGGACAAATCATTCCCTCAATTTCCTCACTGAAAAGGGGTGGTGGGGGTCCCTGTGCTACTAGGTTTCTGATACCATCCACACATCTACTGCTCGGTGCTATCTTTGAAACTGCAAGGCAAGCACAGTAACCTGACTGTGCAGATGAGGAAATGTCGGCTTTGAGAGGTCAAATGACTGGCCCTACCTAGGTCATAGGGCTTAGAGGGGTTGGGAGGGACATTAATCCCAGATGCATTCCAGAAGCCTTCCCCTCTCACACATGCATGGGATGTGTGGGCGGCTCGTGCGTGTCCAATTGGCACACTACTTTACCCACTTCCTACCTGCTTTCATGCACAGGCCACACCAGCTGCTCACAGCTGCCCTGGGAGCTGAGCCAGGCAGGCTGAGCACAAGCTCTGACCCCTATTACTCAGGTGAGGAATCTGAGGCCCAGAGAGATGATGTGACTAAGGATGCAGACCCAGCAGACCTCACAGCTAGGGCACTCTCAGAGTACACCTAGTCCAACCCTATGCTGTAAGAGATGGGAACTCTCAGAGTCAGAGAGAGAAAAAGTAGGGCCAAGCCACGTGTGGAGGTGGTGGCAGAGCAGGGTCAGAGACCTCAGGCAAGTGGGTTCCCTATTCTGAGTTTGTTCCCTCACATCTGCCATGAGGAACAGTAACTCCCACAGAGTATCAGCAAGGATGGAAGGAGATGGTGCACCAAAGTGCCGGGCCCAGGGCCCAACAGTGATGCTGACCAAGAGGAGGAGAAGGAGCAGTATGGACACCTAGGAAATTGCCAAAACAGATGTTTCCGGTGGCTGGGAGGGCATTGGCACGCCCCTTAAAAGTGTAAGAGAGGCCCAGCATGGCTCAGTGGTTGAGTGTCGACCTATGAACCAGGAGGTCACAGTTCTATTCTGGTAGGGGCGGGTTCATCCCCAGTGGGGGGCCATGCAGGAAGCAGCTGATCAATGATTCTCTCTCATCATTGATGTTTCTATCTCTCCCTCTCCCTTTCTCTTTGAAATCAATAAAAAATATTTTTTAAGTGTAGGAGGGACTCCAGGGATGAGAAGCCATGAAGGTGGGTTCTGGCTTAATGAAAGGAGATGGGGAGTGGTATGGGCAGTCTGGGTGGATGGGCAGGTGGTTGTCATCAGAGAGTGTTAAAAGGTGGAGGTGTCCACTCAAGATACTATGAGCCCGTCAAAGAGTGGCAGCAGACTACAGTGGACAGAGCACACAATTGAACCTCTCAGAGGGTTCTGGGTTCTAGGCCCAGGGCTGCCACTCCCTGGCTGTGTGCCCTAGGACGAGTATCTTCACTCTGAGAGCCTCACTCTCCTCATCTGTGCAATGGGTCTGATCATCCCCTCTCCTCAGGGCTGTCTGGTAAATTCAACCTAGGCCTGTACAAGAAATTATAAGTGGATATTGAGAGAACTTTATGCATCATAGTCAATAACTGGAAACAAGGGGATAATGTTTGTCCACCAAAAAGAGTGAGAGGAGTCAGAGGGCGCAGGCCTGTGTGGGGGAAAGGCTGTGCAGGCTGCGCAGGTACCCACACCCCCATCCCAGGGTCTCAGGAACCCCTTGTGGAGATGCACTGTGGGCCTCTGTGGCCGGGGAGCCTGTGGAAGAACCAGGGCTGGGGCTGGGGGTGAGGGTGGGGGTTGGAAGCCTGCCTTGGGGTCATGGTTGCCCTGTGAGCCACCTCCAGGGTGACCATCCTGACCATCCCGGGGGACCCACAGTCTGGCTGCATTCCCAGGGCCCGCCGTCTCCCCTCTGCTCTCTTTCTCCCTGGCCACCCTGCAGGCTGTTGGGAAGTGGGCCCCAGGGGAGGCCAACCATGGGGAAGGGCTGTGGACAGGGGAGAGTGCTGTCAACCTTCAGGCCTGGGGGCCCCCTCAGCACCCTGTCTCTGATGGCTGCTTTCTCCTCCTTTCCAGATGAGCTGCCGTATCTCAAGTGCCCTCTGCACACAGTGCTCAAACTCACACCTGTGGCTTATGGTGAGAGCCCCCACCTTTATCTGGGGAAAGGCACATAGAGGCCATGAGAATGCCTCCAGTGCCTACCATTTGCCCAGTAGAGTCCTAGGGGAGGTTCCTTGGGTGGGTAGTTGGATGTCCTGGTAGAGGTGGGCCTGGTGGTGGCAAGATGAGCACTGAGCATAGAACACCAAACTGTAGCAGGGTCACAGGGGGACCAGAGGAACAATTAAGTGTATGTTGGGGCCAGATTGAAGAAAGGCCTCAAAGGCTAGACTCTCTTGGGGCATTAGTTAGCTGTGAAATGTTCATGATCAGGGAAGAGACAGACAAATCTTTCTGGACTGTGAACAGGACAAATGGTGTACTGAATCCCATAGTAAAGTGCAACCCAGAGATGGAGCTAAGGGGGCTTCCATAGGCATTGGGTCTCCTCTGCCAGCCCCAGCCCCATGATACCATCCTCCTCCTTCTTCAGGCTCCCCAAAACTCTCTGTGACCTCCACACCTTGAAGGTTCCATAACCATTGTCCTCTAATTACACTTTATCTGGGGCTGATGGTCTCAAGGCAGTGGCCCAGACCTCCTCCACCACTTCACCACCTGACAGAGCTGGGAGGACCACAGAGCTCCATCATTATTATCTAGATTAGATTGCTGTCCCACAGACCACAAGACTTGGGGGAGCCCCAGAGATCATCTCTTTTCTTCTCACCATTGACAGTTGAGCAACTGAGGCTCAGAGACCACTGAGACGATTAGGGGAAGAGCTGGGAGGATGTCTCTTTGGTGGCCTCTTAGGCCTGGTATCTTCCCCACACATCACAAAGCTGGTCCAAGTTACCTCCCTACTGGGAAGTCACAACTACACACAGCATGGAGCTGGGGGTGTGGGTGGTGATGGGCACGTTGAGGAATGACACCTCAGGAAAGACTTATTCTTTCGTTGGGGGTTTATGGATGGGTTTTTCTTTTTGAGGATGCAAAGTGGAGTCCATCTACCTGAATGTGGAGGCCGTAAACACACACCGAGAGAAGCCTGAGGTAGGTGAGGGCCTCTGTGGCCTATGCGGGCACATGGTGAAAGCACCTTCCCCACCCAAAGGGCCACCCCAGTGCCACAGACCTTGGGTGTTTTGCACCATCAAATACAATAACCAGCACCTAGAAATGCTGGAACCTCCGCCCAGATTTGGAGGCAGCATGGAGATGCAGGACTAGAGCAGCCCCTCTGAAAAAGGCCTCAGACCAGACTCCTCCAGGCTCTCCTGAGAAAAGGATCAGGATGCAGGCCTGGCTGAAGGAGGGGAGCCTGGTAGTAAGGACAACCAACAGGGGATGGGCTGGGGCTCCACACTGCCGTCTCCTTCCTGTTAATCCTGGGCTTTCTTCTCTCAGAATGTGGACATCACCCGAGATCCTGAAGAAGCCCTGGACACGGTCCCTGCCCACTACTGAGCTCTCTCCAGGAAGTCAAACTACCTCTTTCCTGACTGTCTTCCACCTTTAGAAGCTTCTATCCTTGCTCTTCTACACTTAGAAGACTTTGGATTTGGTCTCACTGGGAGACCCTGCTTCCAATGAAGAAGCCCTCGGCAGTTCCAAAACAGGTGTCGATTTCTAGCTACAACCAAGGAGCTGCCTAGCTCTGGATGAAACTTTTTCCTTAATTTCCATTCTCTGATCAATGAAAACTTCTCTTACTGCCTCTAAGAGGGGAGAGGTGGTCATTGTGAGGCTTCTCCCACGGGATCATCTTAAGATCCTGACCCCGCAAAGTGGTTCTGGTGCTGTGGGGATATGGAATGGGTGAGAGCTTCCTGGAGGAAAGACTTCTGGGAGGAGATAGGTCTCTGTTTCTGCCTATGGGCTTAGTTCCTTGGTGAGCAGTGTTCCTGGGCCACGACACCATCATCCCTATACTCAGAGAAGCTGTACTTGGACCACAGTGCTCCTGTCTTCTTCAACTCTTGCTGCCATTCTGAGTGTTATCACTGTCCATGTAAATAATCCAAAGAATACCCTAGCCTCCCAGTCCCCCTCAACTCCATGACCACCCACTCCATGGACATTGGCACCATGTAGACTTCTCCCCAGTGTGACTTCTTAAATACATGCATCCCACTATCTGACCACAGACCCACAGTTCTTACAACTTTCTGTGTCATGCACAGGATCTCTAGCAGCATGCCTTCTATACAGCAGACATGCACATAGTATTTCTGGCCAGGTACCAGTAACCCAGTGTTGAAAAGACAAACTCATACAGTATTTTCTGGTACTCTAGCCCACCCCACCTTCTCAGGGATTGCCTACTTCAGTCAATTCATGACTATTCTTTTTCTATCTCCTGTCCTTTTCTATTGGCTTTTGTCCCGACGGTCTATGCAACATGGTCTGGTCTCTCTCCTATCCCAATAAAACTCTCCCTTGTTCCTGTGTCACCCTCTAATTACCGCCCCCCTCCATTCTTACACAAACATCTCAAAATGAATGTATAATTACTGTCCAGAACCTTCTCCCTGTGCATTCTGTTCCAGGCTTTCCCCCTCCATATCTTTGTTCATATTCCTGCCATGCTTTCCCCAGGTCTCTATCCCACTAAAGTAATCCTTTCCTTTTAGCCTAAAGCTGGACCCCACATTCCCCAAAGAGCAATGCTGATCTTTAGCTCTTCTATGAACTCAAAATGTCACTCACAACAATTAAGCATAATAAAGAAAGAAAACAACTCCAGTTCATTTTGCAAATTTAATGGAACGCTGATACCAAAGTACAACAACAGCACACAGAAAGCGAACAAGAAAGCAGGACTGGCAACTGGATTTTTCATAGCATGTCAACCTCAGCTGATGGGTAGTATCTGCTTAGACTGCTGGGTGGACAAAGATCCCAAGGATGTTCCTTGGCTTCATGGGAAGGAAGGACTGCTGCAGCTCATTAGCGGGATCTGTAAATGTGGGTCATAAACCTGAAAACAAAACGCCAAAAAGGAACATATTTTAGCATCAAATATACTGTTTTCTCATACTTCCTCCACTGTCTTCATCTCCCCACCCTGCCCTCCCACCTCAGGGTTTCTTATAACATCTCCCAGCACTTATATGCATACCCATGGGCCTTGGCTATGGAAATGCTGTAATTACCTGAAACCTCACTAGCCATAGGAGAAGCTACAGGCACCAAGGCTGGTGGCTCCACCACCAAAGGGAGCACCGTTGCTCGGTCCACCGCTGAAGCCAGCACCGGTGTTCAGTCCACCGCCGAAGCCAACGATAGAACTGGGTCCACCATTGAAGCCAATGCTGGTGCTGGGTTCGCCAGTAAAGCCAATACTGGTGTTGGAACCACTGCCAAAGCCAATGATGGTACTCAGTCCTCCGTCGAAGCTGGTATTAGGCCCACCACCAAAGCCATCACTGATGTTGAGGCTACCACTAAAGCCAGCACTGGTGCCAAGTGAGCTGCCAAAACCAGCATTGGTGCCCAGTCCTCCACCAAAGCCATCGCTGGAGATCAGTCCGCCACCAAAGCCAGCACTGGTGCCTAGTCCACCATTGAAGCCAGTGCTGGTGCCTAGTCCACCATTGAAGCCAGTGCTGGTGCTCAGTCCACCACCAAATCCAGTGCCGGCACTTAACCCATCGCCAAAGTTAAAACCCACACTGGTGCTAAGCCCGTTACCAAAACTGGCACTGGTAGCTCCACTAAAGCAGGCGCTGGTGCTAGGAGGGCCACCAAAGCATAGGTTGGTATTAGGCACATTACCAAAGAAGCTGGTGCTGGGACCTGCACCAAAGCCAATGCTGGCGCTAGGGGCACTTGCAAAGTCAGTAGTGGTGCTAAGTGCCCCAGTGAAGTCAGCACTAGTGCTGAACATACCGCCAAAGCCAGAGTTGGTGGTGGGTGCACCACCGAAGCCGGGGCTACCACCAACAGCACTGCTGAAACCAGCACTGGTGTTGAGCGCACCGCCAAAGCCGACACTGGTGCTGATTGCACCACCAAAGCTAGCACTAGGATTGGGAGAGCCACTGAAGCAGATGCTGGTGCTCAGCGTGCTGCCAAAGTCAGCGATGGTGCTGGAAGAGCCACTGAACGAGACACTGGTGCTGAGGATGCTATCAAAACCAGTGCTGGTGCTAGGAGAGCCACCGAAGTAGATACTAGTACTGAGCGTGCCACCAAAGCTGGCGCCAGAGTTGGGAGAGCCACCAAAGCAGACACTAGTACTGAGTGTGCCACCAAAGCCAGTGCTGGTGCTAAGTGCACCGCTAAAGACGGCACCGGTGCTGGGGGCACTGCCAAAGCTGGTACTGGTAATGAGAGCACCACTGAAGCCAGCAGTGGTGCTCAGAGTGCCTCCAAAGCCAGGGCTGGCCCCGCCACTGAAACTGGTAGTGGTGATGAGTGGGCCACTGAAACTAGAGCTGACCCCACCACCGAAGCTGGCACTGGTATAGGGTGTGCCACCAAAGCTAACGCTGGCTGTGCTGCTGAAGCTGGCACTGGTGCTGGGTGTGCCACCAAAGCTAATGCCAGTTCTGCCACCAAAGCCACCACCACTGGGGCTGGGTGCACCACTGAAGCTAATGCTAGCACCATTGTGGAAGCTAGCTGCGGTGCCAGCTCCTCTGCTGAAGTCGATGTTGGTGCTGGCATCTGCATTTTCGTGGGCTCTGGCCTCAATTTCAAATGAAAATCTGCTCCAGGCCTGAGCATCATCGCCTAACTCTTCCCGTGTTAGGCAGTCGATATCCATGTCATCCCAATTCCAGGGCCCAGCCACAGCTTCCTCTCCAATTCCCATTTGGGCTCTTGCCTCAGCCCTGGCCTCAGCCTCAGCCACAGCCACAGCTGCAGCCTGGACTTCCATCTCCACTGCCTCCCGGTACTGAGCAGCCCAGTCCTTGGGGTCTTTCTTCTGCACCTGAAATGGGAATGATAATCAGTATAAGGAAAATAACCTTATAATTATGTATTAAGTGCATATTATGGGCTTTGTATAAAACTAGTAGCAATATTTTTCAAGACTATCATGGGTCAGTCTTGAGATCCAATTTCAGCTCTAATGACTTAGGTACTGTGTGACCTTGGATAAGTTACTTAACCTTATTGAGCCCAAGTGTCTTCATCTGTAATATGGGAAGTGATAAGAGAGTAAATGTGTTATGGATTAACTGCTGTGTCTCCCAAAAATTCATACATTGAAGCACCAGCCCCCAATGTGACTGTATTTGGAGATCGGGTCTTTATGGAGGTCAAGTTAAATGAAGTCATAATGGTGCGACTCTGATCCAATAGGATTAGTGTCCCCATAAGAAGAGGCTCTCTCTCCACCATCTTAGGACACAGTAAGAAGGCATCCATCTGCTTTCCAGGAAAAGAGACCTCAGCAGAAACTAACACTGTTATACCTTGATCTGGTACTTCTAGCCTCCAGGATTATGAAAAAATAAATTTCTGTCATTTAAGCCATCCAGTCTATGGTATTTTGTTATAGCATTCTGAGCACACTAATGCAAACTATGAAGAATGAATGAAACAATGTAAACTTTATGTTGAGCAGCATCCTGGGACAAAATTAAATTCCATATGTTTATATATGAACTGCAGGCTGCCCTGTACCTGCCCATCCCTATACATAGTCTGCCCCAATCAGGGGCAACCCATACCCTTAATATGCCAAGTCAGGGCAGGTCTCCTATTACCTTGCAGGCAAACTTGAGGACTTTCATCTTGCTAGTCTCATGGTAGGAGCGCAAGCCCCAGAAGAACTCATATTCAGGTGGTCTGCTGTTGGGGACCCTCTTGTACTCCAGGTACCTTCGAGAAAGGAAATGAAACTTGCTTCTAAACAAACAAATCTGTTGTCTAACCACTGGGAACCAGGTGAAAACTTCCTTCAAACACTAAACTCAGCTCCTGGAGAAGATTTCCAAGACCCTTCATCCCCAGACTCACTCCCAAACATAGTTCATGGTCTGGCCTCCACTATTAAGCCATTTCCCATTGACTGTGTGCAAAAGAGTCACTTGGTGCTGCAGGGGAGGCATGTGTAGGGCATGATGTCACAGGGAGGCCAATGTACCCTGCCACCTGTGAGGAGTAAGCCCAAGTTCCTGTTGGGTGTGTTGTAAACAGAGGAGCCATTCTTCAGACACTCTGCTCTGAGCACACCCCCCTAACAAGGGCCTTGTGTTTGATCTGGCCCAGCCTTGGAATGTCCCACCCATGGGAATTGTGGACAAGACTCAGATTTGGGGCACAGGATGCCGATACCTCTAAAGCTAGTGTAAGAAAGGGGCTTATCAAGCACCTCCTGGACCAGACCAACACACCCAGAACACGCCAGGGCCTGACAATGCCCCAAAACACCACTTACTTCTGCTTCACAAACTCGTCTGTGATGAGTTTCCTCACTTCCCCAAAGAGCGAGTGCCTCACCCTGACAATGGGAAAAATAACCCATGAACAGAAATCAGAACTTCCCAGATGAGGACAGAGGCATTTCACAACATGGAAGACACCTCTCTAGCACATGTGGCCATCTTCATGAAACCAGAAAAACAGTAAACACATACATGATCACTAGCAGTAGGCAGTTGAGGCCAAATGGTTCTTTGCCAGGGATACCCTGAAGGTCTATCTTATATCTCATCTTAGAACAGACAGAGGACATAGAGGAGAGAGGGAGCAGGGAGTTAAGGACTAGTTTCCCCATTCACCCAGATCAGAGACCTGGACCATCTACCCAGCCCGATACCCCCGCCCATTCCACCAGACCACCAGGCTGATGCGATCCTGGGACCATCCTCTCTTGCCAAAGGACAACACGGACAGCAAGTGCTGAGAGAGCCCAATCATACCCAGGGCGCAGCCCCAACTTGCGCAGCACCTCCCAGATGACAGCTGCAAGGGGAGGCAAGAGGAGAGGGACAGAAAATGAACATGTGGAATTCTGACCATGGCCACCCATTCAGCTGCACGCCCAGCCACTCACCCTCATTG